TACAATATCACTTGCACGGTCACTTGATTAATTAAATTAAGTAAGACTGACGATAACTCGCGAGAGAGGCTACGTCCGCACGTCCGAGTCCTTTCGCGTCCTGATGAACAATAGAACGATATTCTACTATCTCAAACTTCGCGTGCATAGCCGCGACGGCGCCACATTTTCACGCATTATTCGAGATTTTCTGTTAAATATATAACTTCTGATTTATAAATAATAGGTTTTGTTATTCACGATTAACACAAAGAAGAATTGAATATAATAATTATTAGAGTTCTGTTTTCTTCGATGTCGGTAATTACATTTGAAATTATGCCGCCAATTGCTTGGTCCGATTTCAAATTCGGACCGTTCGTGTAGTTCCACTTGTTCCGATGTTCCTTGTTCATTGTTTACGTGACGTGGTGGTACTAGTTAGTGGTTATTGCCGGTTGCGTTGAAGTGAAACGTATAGTAGTTTCAAACTGTTTTGTTTAGTTGGTTCTTGTAATTTTTAGGAAAAAAAACGTTACAGCCATGTGGCACTCTACATTTGACGATGTGCGACGGATGAATAAACGACAGGTAAATAAATTCTTTAATTTTCACCGCTCTACGTTTCGTTGAACAAGCGCATATGGTCGGCCAAACAGAATATGGGAATTTTATAATTTTTACTTACAGTTTCTGTATCAAGTGTTAAGTTTTGGTATGATCGTTTCGTCCGCGTTGATGATGTGGAAAGGATTGATGGTTGTAACAGGCACTGAAAGTCCGATTGTGGTTGTACTCAGGTATGTCAATACTTAACCTATCATCTTTTTAACGCGTCCATACACGCGAGTAATTTCATATTACGGTAATTCCATACTTTATGTTTATTCAGACATTCAATAAATTAGGGTTAAAACTTAGCATACGAAAATATTTTATAAAATGTTTATTTCACCGAAATTATTTCAATTTTTGTTAACTAATTCATAAATAATCATATTTCTATAAACATTTATCGTATAATAATGATAAGAATATTTACATAGGGATTTTGAAGTTATATTTTATGAAAAAACATTAAAATTATATTATTGTTAAGTATTATTAGAATAGTTTATGTGTAAGTTATATTATTAATGCATTATCCTTATGCATTTTATACCTGAATGTTATAGTGGTAGCATGGAGCCAGCATTTCACAGGGGGGATTTATTATTTTTAACCAATTACCGTGATGAACCAGTCAGGGTAGGAGATATTGTTGTCTTTAAAGTTGAGGGTAGGGATATTCCAATTGTACACAGAGTACTTAAGCTACATGAACTGTAAGTATTAACTGAGTGTTAAGGATAGCTGTGTAAGATTAGATTGTGTAAGGATAGATATAAGTTAAGATATTGAAAAAGTAATCCATTTTAGGAATGATGAAGAAAATACTGTTAAATTTCTGACGAAAGGTGATAATAACTCTGTTGATGATAGAGGTTTATATGCAGCTGGTCAGTTGTGGCTAACGCATAAAGATGTTGTTGGTAAAGCAAAGGGTTTCTTACCATATGTGGGAATAGTCACTATATATATGAATGAGTATCCCAAATTGAAATACTCAGTGCTGATGTTTTTGGGAATGTATATTTTTGTACACAGGGAGTAAGCATATTCCACATAGGAAATTATGTAAAATAGACTGATTGAATCTATCTATTGAAGAAAAGTGCATTGTAAGATTAAGTGCTGATTGGTTATTCAAATACATATGTAGAGCTGTGTACAATATGATTTGATGTCTTGTTAATTTCATACCATTTGAGGAACCTTCTGTATGCAAGGAGAGTCAGCACTGTAACAGTTCTGCACAAGTGTCTTTACATTTTCAATAATAAGAAAACATTAATGTGTGCATGTAAAGCTTTAGTACCTTTGTATTGTATTAAAAGAAAATGTGCCACCAGTGGTATTATTAAATGTACAAAACACTTTATTTATAGATGATACACTATTGTTGTTTTGCCAAACTTCATTAACTTGACTAATGAAACAATACAATTTTTTCTTTAGTATAATTATAAAGTATTTCTTCCAGTATACCACATAAGGTCTCATTAAAAATACACTAGTATTCGTATTCAAATGATGGTATTCGAGTTATATATATATATATATATATATGTATTATATATAAATTTTATAACAGATCACAATGAAAAGATAACATTTTTCTTGTATAATCGCGTTTTAAATTCATTTCTCATGACTACTGGTTAATGAGTTTTGTCAGCGCAACAATGATACATGAACAATACACATTGAATTGGCGTTGTCGCGTTTAAATTGTTTCGAATACACTGAATATTTGAAACTCGAAAGTCATTGTAGTAGTGAGCGGAAAGTGATTAAACTCTCAATTTCTTTGAATGGCACTGAATATTTCATGAAAGGTCTGTGAGCACTCTGTATAAAGAAAAGAAAAAGATATGGGAAATTTGGGAAGATTAGCAATAAAGTGTATATGCTTAAGAAAGATTTTACTTTTTACTACACATAATAGTAAGAGCATCTTCCCTTTCTTTTCCGTCGCGATCGTATTTGTACATAACATTTTTTACTTTACAGTTGCTGAATATTCTAATAAGAATATATCATTGTTTAGACTACAAGTATGTATAAATGATGCAACTTGTTTATAGGTGTGAATTCCGAAAGACCTGTCTATATTAGCTATGTTAGCTAGTCCAATACTATGTACTTTTTGTCTTTAACTGTTTCTAATTACCAAATAAATCTATGGCGTATGAACTGCGTACAAACCTCCTTCCACCCTAGGTTAGTAGATAATACTAGAAATGAGTCACTTCTTTTATCACAAGTTTAATAAACTGAAGGCTGTCTTATATTTTATTCATACCGCGAAACTGGAGCATGAGATAAACTTCGCTCCCCCATTTCTCGTTATTTGTTTTCCAGCAAGATAACTTTAAATAAGTCATATGTTCCGCCGTGTTTTGACAATGTCTTGTTGATAATGAAACTATTTATGTTACAATTATATTAACACGTTGAACGCCGCACGATTTCATAGAGCAAAATACACAAAATAGAAAAAATATAATATTAAATCATTTGACTGAATTGGATTATTATGGTAGCACGTTCATCAAACTGAATGTCACCGCAATGGGTAGCATTATTTATAATATAGAAATGTTTGCCAATAAGCATCGTTTAATTGAGTGAATTATAGTAATCCAATTTGCTTGGGGGTCATCGGTGACCCCCACGGCATTCAACGTGTTAAATTTATACTTATATACTATCAATGACGCGGTACCACTCGAATCCACGTTTCTTTAGAGGTAACAATTAAAGTAGGCAATTTATCATTCAGTTCTGTAGATCCTTTATCCACGAAGTCAAAATTAAAGTTCTGCATTAGCGTGACGTACAATCCAAATGTATTGTATCTCGCGAAAGGTTCTCCAGGGGACACGCGATGTCCTGAAACTAACAGTAGCATTACATTTTGCAAACACTGTTGTAGTTAACCGCTCAAACGAAATCAGAATCTTTTCATCGGTCAAATTCCCTTTATGCACCAAGTCCGAACGGTAACGCGTAATGTTTGCCTATTCCGCCATCTTCGTTGAGAAATCTCACCGGCCGGAAGTTCTCAGAGTCTCCCCAAAGATCTCGATCATTATGCAGGCCTCCTAGTTGTTTTTACTCTTGCAACTCTATTCCTTATCAACATATATGCCTCAACAACCCTCACAACCACAAAACTACTTAAACCAAAGTGGGGGAAACTGTATCCCTCGAAATTTCTCCGATCTGGCCATACCGCTTGGTCTTCTTCACGACTTTCGTGAACCAGTAGAACATAAAAGAATGTGTATCAAATACATGGTACTTGCTGACAGATCAATTTTACCCATATCTGTTTGTACGAACTCGAATGTATCAATAGCAATTCAAACATTCCATAGATGTTCCTAAATTGGTTGGACAGGAAACAAAGATTTGATGAAGAAATGATTTTTCCGGTGTGTAGTGTTGAAGTGACAAAGAAAGAAGGGTTTCCTCACGAAGAGACTGTACGTTTCATGATTTGCTGCGTGAGAGCTAAGATAAGAAAAGAAATATATCATTCTTTAGACTACTTGTACGTAAAATGATGCAGCTTGTTTGTACGTGTGAATTCCGAAAGGCCCGTCTGTAATAGTTATGTTAGCTGGTCCAATACTATGTACTTTTTGTCTTTCAATGTTTTCAATTACAAAATAAATCTATAGCGTACAAATTGTGTGCAAACTTTCTTCCACCCTAGCTTAGTAGATAGCGATAGGAACATATTATCAGTATCATGCTAATAATTAAATGATTTATTTCATGTCAGATATAATTTTCATTCAAAAATTGTGTCATATCTTTTATCACAGGTTTGATAAACAGATGTCTTATATTGCATTCATACCGCCAAATTGGAACATAAGATGAACTTCGCCCCCCGTTAGTTCGCCATTTCTTTCCGACCAAGATAACTTTAGATAAGTTTTATGTTCTGCCGTGTTTTGGCAATGTCAAAATGAAAACGATTACTATACACTATCGTTCTTCGTACTACGCTTTATATTGCATAGCTACTAAGTCGTTGCTTGTTTATAATGAAATTACTTACATTACGTTTATACCTGTATACTATCAATGACGCGGTACCACTCGAATCCACGTTTCTTTAGGAGTAACAATTAAACCTGGCAACTTATCATTCAGTCCTGTAGGCTCTCCATCCACGAACTCAAAATTGAAGTTCTGCATTAGCGCGGCGTACAATGCAAATATATTGTATCTCGCGAAAGTTTCTCCGGTACACACGCGATGTCCTGAAACCAATAGCAGCATTTCATTTTAAACATACACCATAGTTGAAATTTCATCGGTTAAATTCTCTTTACGCACCAAATCCAAACGGTAACGAGTAATCTTTGCCTAATTTGCCATCGTCGTTGAGGAATCTCTCCGGCCGGAAGTTCTCAGGATCTCCCCAAAGATCTGGATCACTATTCAGGCCGCCTAAATTCGCAATCGCTAACGTGTTCATCGGAATGTTGTAACCGGAGAGAGTAGTATTCCTCAAGGACTTATGAAGCACACCAAATGGCGTCAATGTTTCGCGTCTGAGACCTTCCCGTATAGTTGCCTCGGTGTACGGTAGACTGAAGAAACATGAAACGCTATTTGATCCGAGGTGACCGAGTTTTTAACACTTTTTAAAACGGCTGCGCATACTTCTTTCTGTCTTCCCAATTCACGATTCTTCCGGTACCAACCACACTGTCTATTTCATCCTGCACCTTCTTCATAACTTCCGGATGGTGCATCGTGTATTTTATCATGTGCACAACGGTACTCGGCATGGCTGACAGAGCTGGAAACATGTAGTCCACAATGGTCATGACAAGTTGTTTCTCAGAGAAACTGGACGCCTCAGTCCGTTTCTTCATCTCTGCCAGGTATCTGTCTATCATCCCATTGTCGGAGTCGCTCGTGTGCGTGCTCTTCCGCTGGTCTACGTATCCCTGTGATAATCGAAACGGTATCGTCGAAGTTGCAAACGTATCGCACAAAAATAGAATACATACTTGGATGAAGTCCACCATGCCGTAATGCCCTTTTATGATGTTAGTATATCCAAACATGTTTCCGAAATACTTTAGAAATGCCCGTTGGAAAATAGCCCCACCGGTGGTGTCAGCTGCTCTTTGAAACACCATGGCAGACTTGCAAAACTGTATCAACTTATGGTGTTCCGTTCTATCTAATCTTTCGCCGAATGCTATGTTCCAAATACTGTTTGCGGAATACGGAAACAGGACGTCTGGGAAGTAAGCTTCGCCCTTCCTCAGGAATGTCTGAAATACACTTCGTTAGCAGTTCCGCTTGGAAAATGCGATTTCTAGTTAGTCGGGCAACCTTTTCTTGATCATTGGTAGGTCCGTTCTTCAACATGTCAATGAGTTGCGTGACTTCTTCCATCATCTCTGCTTCGTATTTTTCCTGGCGTCTGCCGAGACCGAAATCCCTCATGTGTCGGAGGCTAAATCGTCTTTGTTCGTGCCAGAACGTGCCTTCGGTGAAAAAGATGCCCATCGTCGATCCGAAAGCTCTCGCCTTCAAAACGTCTACTTCGGTCGGTCTGCCATCGAAGTCTTCTTTCATTAACAATTCTTTGATACTGTTATAGTCATTGGCTATGACGCAGCAAAATGGTCCCAAATAACAGGTCACAACTTTGGACTTCAATTTATTCACATAGTATCGGAGTGTTTTATGAGGATACGCGTAATTGCCCCAGAGCATGTGCCAGTACGATCCTACGAACGGTAGACGGGGCAAACCTATTGCAAGAGGGTGAACAAATTTAAAAATGTTTTATTCTAGTAGAAAGATGAGGTATCCGTTAACGAGACATGTACTAATTAAATATATTAAAGAATTCTGTTCTGTTATTTAGAATGGTATAAAACTTACATGGCGGAGTATTTGGTGGTACACAGGTGATAAATTCGTAGAATTTGTATCCTATGAGTAGAAGTAATATTGCAATTAAGAAAGGCGACATGCTGAGACCACTGCTAAATGATTTCTGATAGCATTCTTTGTGTCTTCTCTACATTCTGTACTCTCTACTCTACTGAATGTATATCATGTATATGGTGGTTGCTAATAGATTATATGTATCTTTATCTGCTTGTACAAAGTCGAATGTTTTTAAGTTTTTGCACGATTATCAATGCTGTGGAAATGTATAGGGATGGTGTGGGTTGGAGTTGAATGATTAAGACCAAGTAACATAGTATTATATAAATATTTCAGGTTTATCAGCTAAGAGATGTGATATTATGGTCCTATAATCAAAAATACTGACATCTTAATTGGTAAACTTGAACTCTGTTACAAAAAGTAGTAGTTGTTTGAGATTTACACAATTGTCGGGGACATAAATTAGACATATGATTTTTCTGTTACTGCATTTGAGACGAAGAAAGTATTAATCAGTAGATGTTCTAACAAAAATCTTTTATTTTACAATACAAAGTGCTATACATTTATTCATTAAAATCACAAATAAGATATCTAAGTACTATTTGTTATACTTTATTGTATCATATACTAAGAAACTACAAAAAATAATGTTTTCTTTTTATTTTAAATAATGTGGCCCATACACTTTGTTGAATTTTATTCTAGAACAGACTTATAGTAGTTCATTCACTCGAAGTATTTGGTATCACCTAGGCAAACTACTTGCAGACTATTTTTTATCACTGAACGCATTCGATCATCCTTCATGACTGCACAACCTACATTTGGGGACAATTTGTATAACAAGCAAATACAGTCCTCCAAATTTTGCATTATTTCTTTGTCAAATACTGGTGTCTCGGTTAAATCGAAGTGCAGTTTTAAAAATGCTGTGTATAAAGGTACACAGTGAGCTGCGACTCGTAAATGAAACATTAATAGAAACGTCTTGGCAGTCTAAAAGAAGAAGATGTTATTTTATTAGTGTTGAAGACAGTAAATGTAATTAAAGTTGTTTGTAAAAATATTTACCTCCAATGTTGCCTTCAGTGTTCTAAGATCTGTATGATGCTCACAGTATTCAGTCAGTATTCTGGTCAATCTTTCACACCATTTTGCGCAGCCAATGTTAGTCAAAAGTTGAGGCAAGCTTAACATATAGACACGTCTGAGTTCTACATTTTGTTCAAATTCCATGTTATCTAACAAAACAGCCAGAACATCATCACGTTGTGTCCACTATAACAATGCATAGTGTTACAAAATGAACATTTCAATATATATACTTATCAAATTAGAGAATGCATACTTCAAATACATTTAAGGTATCATCCCAATGTTCCATAGTAGCTAACAAACTAGTTATGCACAAATATACCAGTATCACATATTTGGCCTCTCTCTGATGAGTCAAACGTTCTAAAGCATGAAACATTACTTTGGCATATCCAGTGTCTATTAATCCCTTTTTCTAGACATGTAAAATTATATAATTTAGTAATTATACAAATGAGTAATAAAGAGGATACATAAAATTCATTCTTACCAAATGGGAATGTTGAATAATTTGAAGTAAACATTGAAGACCTATTACCACATTGTCTGGCATATAGTCATCAACAATTATTAAAGCTGTTGGAAGAACATCACCCATATGACTATACAAAGCTGGTTTCTGAAAAATAAAACATTAGTTGTTATATGTAATTAAACTTATATACTTCAAATAATTCTACAAACCTCTGTTTGATATAAAAGCCATTTATAACATGCTACAGCTGCTGGATAAGCTTTCCAAGTATCTTTCATTAACTTAGGTCTTAATGATAACAATGCTGTAATAAAATTGTCTTGTTCCATGAAAAACTGAGCTGTGGTCTGGCATCTATGTAGTCCCAAAATATTGCTCAATAATTCTTTGGAGATAGACACAGATTCTGCAGTATTCCATAGATTTCTCTCGTGATGCTCTCCAATGAGTAATACTAAGTTAATGGTAAAAGTCCTAACAGCCGATGCATTTAAATCTATTTGCACAATTCCTTCGTTACAACTGTGAACAATATGATGGAGCATAGATCTGATGTTTCGCAAATTCCTGTCCACTATTTGCCTGTATTCCCTAAAGTCTTTCTCCTCACAAGGACGGCTAGCACCAATCGTTTTCTCAGGAACATAACTTTTTTGGATAAGATCAATGCACGCCGACCATAATCCCTCTTCGGAGAAATCACCGGAAATTTTCATAGCCTCTAGTTCTTTCAAAAGATCATTCATTTTGTGAGTCGTTCGCAATTAAGTCCCAGGGAGAGATAACGATCGCCGTCTTGCGAATCAACTTTTTTGCAATGATCTACTCGATTCGCGTGTGCACATTGAAACTGTCATTTTCCCGATATGAAAAACAACGCCTCTATCGAATTTTATGCTTCTGGATCAAAAACAGACGACTAAAGTTTATCTTTTTTGGGTATCGTTTCCCTTGAAATGTTCGGACTATTCAACAACGGCTGAATGTACCGACTGTTGTTGTGGGAGCTTGAACATGTGACGACTCAATATCAAATTCGAATTACAAGGAACATTCGGAGTTACAGCTCAATGATGAAATTTTCCTCGACACTCTTAACTGTCGTGCAGTTTTACGACGCAATTCTTGTATTTTATAATGTTATTCGATGATTCGAAACTATGATCGATACAATCTCTATGAGGTGCCGAAGTGTATGTCATCTTTCCCTATGTGAACGCGCTGCGTTTCTGTCGTGAGGTTCCCGGTCTCTGATGTGTGCCGTTTCTGTTTTTCGTTCGTGTAAATTAACGTGCCTTTTTCCTTTCGTTTTCGTTGTAACGCTCCGAATTCGGTGAAATTTTTGTTCACCGAGACCGTGCCCGTGAGAAAATTCCAGTAAACGCTGTCCAGTCAAATCTTTCCACGGGTTTCGTTTGCCTTGCGCCGAGAGTAGTGTCGCGTTTGACGTGAACATTTGTTCCGTTCGGTGTAAATTCTAGAGGTTTGATAATCATGCATTAATGAAGGTGTAGTAGCTGATAGTTACGATATGGCTGAGTACAGTTAGTTCATTTTCTATTTTTTCATATCATTTATGAGTGTCATTCATTTCATTCTGGACAAGATAATAGTAGAGTCGGTTGTCGAGTTGCGCCACCATCTTGCCTTCCTGCTGCAACGACACCGCCCTTTTCGCGATTATTGGTATTCACTATGCCCTAAATATGTCTTTCGACGAATTTAGTTTAGCAGAATTCATTTTGAAGTTACACTTTTTCGTTTCCGTCACTGCGGATGTTTATCCTCGACGGATAATTTCGTGACAGTAACATAACCTTGCTCGTCAGTATTATTCGAATTTCTGTGACTTCGGATCATTCGTTGGTTGCTTGGACGGATTCATTCGACATTTCTTTTTTCTCGTGAATAGTGTTGTGTCGAATTCCGTGTTTGAAAGTTGAACTATTTTCACCGTTTTCTGGGAGAAGTCACGGTGGCAGAGATTCTCAAACGCGACCTCTATTGGAAGCCTCATTGAATGGTGGAATGGCGAAAAATTAGAAGTGATTGAAATGAGCACCTTTCATAAATCATGTTCATGATTTGTACTCATTTGAAATTCTGACGAATTTTCTCTGTTGGTGTTGGAAGGAGCGAGTTCGTACAGTGTATCATCGGGTGTGGGCAGTGATTCGGAAATTATGGCCGAGCTAGCAGCATTCCTGGGTCAGGAAATCCCTGAGGGGAGAAGTAATCTGGCTGACAATCATATAAATTTGGAGCGGGTTGCTGATTACTGTGAAGCTAATTATTTTCAAGCGGACAATAAAAGAATAGCTTTGGAGGAGACCAAAAATTTTACGACACAGTCATTGGCCAGTGTAGCGTACCAAATAAATACTCTTGCTTATAATTTTTTACAACTGTTGGATTTGCAAACATCGCAATTAGCTGAAATGGAGAGCCAAATGAATCACATCGCTCAAACAGTTATGATACACAAAGAGAAAGTGGCCAGAAGAGAAATAGGTGTTTTAACAGCAAATAAGATTACAGTGCGTCAGTACAAAATTATTGCACCAGCAATTCCTGAGAAACCAATTAAATATGTTAGGAAAAGTATTGATTATACAATCTTGGATGATATTGGACATGGGGTACGCAGCAGTGGTACTCCAAGGAGTAAACAACGTGGTGGTAGTCAAGGAAGTGTCCAAAGTTTGGGTGCTGCTTCCACTGGTTCTGGGTTGGGTGCTGCTATGGTAGGACCAGCACCAACCACAAAGCCCCCTACTCCTCCTCAGACAGTAAGAACTGGTATGTGCAAAGTAAATAGTCTGTGTACATTGTACAAGTATTGGTCAATGTTAACAAAATCTTTTTTTTATGTAGGAACATTAAGCAAAGGATCAAGAGAATATAGGACACCACCCGCTGTAGCCCCACCCCAAGTTCCTAGTCATTATGCTCCTAATTATCCGTTAGGTCATCCCAGAAGGGAGCGAGGTCCTGGTTATAGTACCTTACCTTTACATGCCCACACTACATCTCACGCTACTCATAATGCTAACCACAATGCCCACACAAACACTATAACACAACACACTTCGCCACCTCAGGTAGGAACAGTTCACCCCCTCCAAAGTCATCCGCAAACTCCACCACCTGCACCATCCAGCGTGACTGCAGGATATGTTCAAGAGCAACACAATAGTATGCCTCGTAAGTATCTGTTTATAACTTTTCATATGAAATATAAATATGAAAGATTGGGATTTAATTTTGTTTAATGTCTGTTTACAGCGCCACCATCACCGTTGGTCGGTATAACAGGTGACATGTCGGATTACGGTGGTCATCACACTTTACCACACAGGCTCTCGCATCAAATTAGTCGAGGCAGCGGTGCGAGTAGTCCACCACTGCCGCCACCTCCACCACCTGAACAAGAGGAACACTCGCAATTCGGTAGACCTATACAATCCAGCGGCGCTATCATGCCTATTGTACCAGATGAGGAGGACTTACCTGGATGGGTGCCCAAGAATTACATCGAGAAAGGTAAGTTATAAATTCGGTACACAGAGTTTACAGGTTTTGAACAGAGCAAGGAACGCAATGGACCATTGTGCTTTTAGTGGTTGCAATTTACGATTATTACGCTGACAAAGAAGATGAATTGAGTTTCCAGGAAAGCTCTGTAATTTATGTATTGAAGAAGAACGATGACGGGTGGTGGGAGGGAGTCATGGATGGTATAACGGGCTTGTTCCCTGGGAATTACGTAGAACCCTGTGTTTAATGCATTATCTGGCAATCGATTATATCAAAATGGTGAAAAGTGATCATTTAAGGAAAGACTGGAAATTAAAGGGTTCTGGTTTAAAGACCTCATTTAGCACTAGCAAATAATTGCGGCTGCTTAAGATCAATATTGGTCGATGTAATAACGCAGAACGGTGTAAAGTAGAATGGTACCCGATAGGCTGATACTGCGATCACAGGTTATTTTTAAGAACTTCAAATATCACACGAGTTTTTCTAAAAAAAGAAGAAAAAAAGAATCAAACTAACCTTTGTATTAACATGAGAAAGTGTATTTTTCGGTAAATAGTATTTCCTTCGGTGAGCTTTATTTTATCTCGATCTCTCAAGGATCGTATTTATATACGTACATATGGATAAGGACATATAATTGTTATTCCACTATACAACACACCCACAGTTAGCTGTATTTATACGTATTAGGTGTAATCAAGGTGGCGTTAGCGATAGGCTATCGTGTAATCAAAATACCAAACGTCCTGTTAACGAGAATCCTAGGCGCCTTACATTCGAACGCGATTTAGCGGTATGAATTGCTTTCCAGGAATCGAACGTGTCCAGACTGGGATGCCTAGTGTAATATAAGTTTAGTTCTTACGGTAGTTAATTCTGTACTCTTCTCAGTATTTTATTTCTCCTAAAATAAAGTGCGAAAGTAATCCTTGCCACTCCGAAGGTCGTTTCCACAATCCTGTTCGTCACACCAAGTCAGCGTAGCGTACCCATGGTACAGTCAATTAATATATGTATCATTTAGAACGCAATCATTTCATTTAACCAGCCACTGGGGTGCTGAGCCGAGGTACAGAGGTAAGAGGTTTCGCATAATAATCGCACATTGTGCGGTGCTAATTAAGTCATTAGCACACTGTTGAAACAGTTATAAGTACCGTGTAATTGGCTAGGTAACGTGCCGGTCGTGTCCTCCCTCGTTTCCCTCGTTGATGTACTTTAAATTTCCCTTTATACGCTTCGAGATGCTTGCATAGACAATAAGGGGCTCGTTTCCGCGAGGATTATGCACTTCGCAATTACTGCCGGTGTAGGATTTATAGACGATGGGAGGAGGCAGTACGGGAGACAGGAGAATAGATTTTTCAGGTTCGTCGCAGAATTTTTAATCGTCGTTGTTATTTACTGGCAACGGACTAAGTGAATGTACCACCATGATTGTATTTATAATCAAATAAAACAACTTGTAATACGTATTGGAATTATTCTTTGTGTGCTGTCAGTGTGAGTTGATCGAGTGTGCGACAGAGTGATGTGTTCTTCTCTAGTAACGGACGAATCGTCCATCCCTGGGAATAAGCAAACGTTGGCTCTCAATTACACGGAAAACGGTGAATTGCTTCAATCCGCGGTTCCCTTTGAAACGAGCCAAGTCCTCTTATCGGATAGAATGAAGTTTGAACGAGTCTGGCCACGAAATGGAAACCGGTTGTCCCTGCTGGTCTTCCGAGAATTTTCCTCGGGCGAGTCAAAGGAATTAATTCGAAGCGTCAATTATACTTATTCATAAAGAAAGTACGCGTCCTGGAAAGTCTCGAGTTATCGTTTTGTGTTTGAAAGGCTCCGCTCGCGGTTGAAAGGTCTAAACGGGCGGCGGGGCCGCTTGAAAAGCGACACGGGATTCCTTTTCGCAATTCGGTTCACCGGTCGGCTTAAAATTATTTCCCCAGACGTAAACCACGGAGATTTTTCCGCTCGTAAACGAATAAGAAGCACAGCGCGGGGACTAGTTTCTCGCTGGGAATGTTCTCCCTTTTAAGTCAGTAATGACACCCCCGGGATCCAGTTTTGTACAGTTACCGCGCGCAGATTCTCGCGGCGAAAGATTCGACCTCGTATGAGAGAAACGGAACGAGCGAGAAATAGAGAACAACCTACAGACAGAGAGGATGAGGGGCCGGGTCTGGCATATCTGGAATCCTCGTAAATTTTTTCGTATCCGTGGCACGCGTACAAAACGGGGCAGATGAAAACAGCGCGCAGTTTTGAGAGCGTCCCTGTTATCCTCGTATATCACGCCTAAAAGGAGGTCGCGCGGAAATAAGGCACGTTAAGGAACGAACGTTATTTTTTATTATTATTCACTCCGGCAATACGGCGCGCTGGATAGAGTGGCGTTGACGCGCCTCTTTTCACCGCGTTCGGCTCGTCTGTGGACAAAACCCTTAAATTCGGCTATTCATATAACGAAAATTGAAGGTTATTGTGTCGCTAAGTAGTCCCTGCTGTACAAAATGATTTTCATTTTAAAAATAACAATTTTGTGCAAATCAATTCCGTTTCTCTATTTATATAACGTCGGCATTGAAACGCGGAATATTCATTATCATTGAAAAAGCTTCACAATATCCCCATAATGTAAACAAAAATATAACCACCATAATATTTAGCTCTATACCTTACAATTATTAATCTTTGAAGCATTCTTTTGTATCACTCATACTCTAAGTTATCTATTTGTCCAGAAAACTATCATTTGGCCGCGCTGCGTGCCACGAAATTTCAATCCGAAAATGGCCGTTCTAAGTTAACCCGGACGAGTGGAATTCGGAATTTCCCCGATTTCTTTTTGTTTCATCGCCGAGAGGATTTCATTTATTCGCTGCTTCCTGCCCGACGAGTGTATTCTCGTTGAAACGTATCCGCGGTATCGGAACGCGGATACCGATAATCCGGGTTTCGCTGCGCGATTTTTACGGGAACCTCGGGAATGTAAATCGCTCGGGAACGGTTGACGACGCGCGGCCGCCGAAAATTGACCTTAATAAATTCCGGGGGAAAACCGCGAACGATTGTGCTGGCCTGATAAGGAAAACCGTGGAATTTATTCGATATCGAGGAAGCGCGCGACTTTATCAGGCTTCCCCGGTGAACTGGATAAATCTAAGGAGACGGAGCCGGCGCACGTACGCCACGGCTATCTGATCTAATTCGCCGGATTGATTATCCCCGGGGTACAGGCAGCCGACACCGCGACAGCCATCCTCGCCGGGCATGTAACAGGAACCGCTTCATTTGATTAATACCGTCTTTCCGGGCAGCCGCGACCAACTTCTCAGCCCTGAAACCCCTTTCAACTCCCTTCCGCCTGTCATCTCGCTCGTCCTCCGCCGTCGAATCGTGAAATATTCCTACGTATCCCTTATCCTCTCCCCTATCCCGCCGCTCGAATTCACCGGCACTCTTTGTACCCGCGAATAATAGACCCTTCCATTCTTCCTTCGGCACTGTGTTCCTTAGCTTTCCATCGGGGAAGGCTTTGCTAATCGATATCGAGTCACTTGTTAATTCGCTTGTCAGAAAGGTACGCCGGAAAGGGTAGACGGCAGTTGTTCGCTTCCGATGGATAGTTCGATCGTTAAGGGAAAATTGAGACTTAATTCTAAAACAGGGATTCGGAAGTTCTTTCGGTATACGTCTTTAGTTCCGAGGAAATAAAGGGGATGAAACGTTCATTTTTGAAGTAGGTCGATGAACGTGACAGTTACCTAAATGAAGTAAATTCTTGACGAGCTCGAATCTTCGTGGATTTATCTTATCAAGCACATCTTCCGATGAAGTTTCGTAACAGTATCTGGCTTTTTAACCATCGCAACTTCGTTACTAATTGGAATTTCCGAATGAAAATTTCTATCCTGCACGGCGCTTAAGTGAAATAAAAATTGAAGGGGCAATTTGTCAAGAGGTTCACGTAATTCTTTAAGAAGATCGGAAACTTCATTCTGCCGCGGAGGACCTCTTGGAATTTAATATTGACCTTGTAATACGCGAGACAGTAGAAAACGGCGGATCGTCAAATTCGCGTTCGGTTGATCTGCAGCAGGATAAGGATTTTATGTTCGTTGCCTAGAGCGTCCTCTTTTTATTGGTAGCCCTCCGTCATAACGTGACTGCAATAATACCGAATGCCGACGGTGGGGGTCGGGAATTTATACGGTTTATGTCGGACATGGCTGGCCTCTGGTGTCAACGATGGGAACGGGATTAATATTCGTCGCGGCTTCTGGCCTCCGTTTCGAACTTGTCGATCGGTTTCTGGAGGAGGCCGAGAGGCGGCCCGGCAGCCGGTGTCTCCGGAGGATAGGTCTGCCGAAAGGCTGAACGGGATTCGCATAGTTCAACGGCGCCGGTGACTGAAGAACTTTCTGTCTTGTGCCGTCATCAGTCTTAGTTCAACTTGCCAGGCGAGCCCAGATGTTGCTTGAACTAGGTTCCTGCGGGATCTTAAGTGATGCAGGTTGAATAAGAGCCGTGAGGCCGGTTGTCATCACGTTTCTCGGAGTTCCGTGCCCGAAGAGCTGACTTGAGAAAGCTGCGACCCGGTCGAAAGCTTTTCCAACGGCTCCGGAACTCGGGGAACCACAAGTCGAATAGTATTCCGTTTAAAATGGAATCATTCGAGTATCAGTCTTCGTTAATCGACGAAGATTCGAAATTCGTTTGAGCTTGGTTTGACGAATTTCGCTGCGACGATTCGTAGGTAAGTTGGCACAGTAGTATTATTGGATTCCCGAGTTCGCGATGGTTTGATGATTATTATCGTGATCCCTTCATCAATCTTGTAATTAGTTTGTTTATGATGCGGAGGGTATTTATCATCCGCGGGGCTCAGCCAGCTCCTCCTCCTAATTCCACTTTCATATCTCGAAACTTTGACCATAATTGAAGACTAACGAGATTTACGATGTGCGCAGAGAAGACGGCCCGGAATTAGCGCGCGCATACACCGAGGGCTAATCTCTTTAAGGCTGATAATCGACGTCGAATCGATGCTCCCATTTCTGCGGCGAATTGTTATCGTAACTACATTATTGAATCTGCCTCGCTCTTCTTCGATTTCAGTTAATCGTGTTGCTTTTATATCGCGTTCTTCACGAGGTAACTAGTTCGCTAACATGGTTAATGAACCATGCTTTCGCTGGATCGGCCGATGAAGCAGCCTTTGGGCGCTGGTTTCGCCCCTTTGTACATTGTAATTTTATCGCAAATGTAATACAATGTATTCGCAATTTTCTGTTAATTACACTGTACAGATATTAACCTTTACAGCGTTATGCTCGCATCAATTCGATTATCGTCCTTTGAAAAATCTGGATTTCGATGTTGCAATTAACAGGTGCGCATCGTAGGAAGAGTGTTCGAGCCGCTGAATAATAGAGATAAGCAAATTGCAGTCTTGCCGTAATTTTCATTCGCCATGTTACTGTACCTACACCATTCGGTGGATCCAGCTCGCGTTGAAATATCTAGGAACCCGGGCTTATTAATTCAGCGAAGCTTTTTAAACATTCTTGTCCATTATCGTGCTCGTTTTACCCGGGATTTATTTGTAACACAATGCGTTCCTTGGCCGTATTCCTCGCCGTTCCGCCGGACTCGTAAACATTCCGAGGTGTTCACGAGCCATTAATATTCATGTATTTTAAACAATCTTTTCGCCGCTGCTTTTATTCGCGACTACGCTGCATCTATCTTCACTTCCACCCTGGCCCTTTATCGCGAAAAAGTCGGAACGATTCAGCAACAGAAATT